GAGAGTTTGTTCAACGGGTCACTGTATGTATGGAGTGAGATGGAACCATGAATTAATCATACATATTTCATATTAAATGTCAGCATCTACACTGTTTGAACAAAGGCCAAATAAACCTTCGTGCCACACAAGGAAGTCAACCATAAGCCATAAATAACATTGTGTCCTTTTGGCTGGCAAATATAATTAGCAGATGTTTGTGTTTAAAGGCCATTTCAATGAGGTACTGTGAATATCACTGCTGCAATGTTTGCTGTGAGCCTTAAATGTGGTCATTTCAGGTATTAAAGAAGATTTTAGCATAATTAATGATATGTTGTTGGTCCTTTAAATTAATCCAAGACAATTTTAACAAATTTGAACTGCAATGCTTTGGTMTAAATTCCTCCCTACAGGCCCTGTCACACTAGACAACTTATGCCAACTCATGAAACATGTTTTTATGTCTAAATTGCAAATAAAAGTTATATATTTGATCAATTTCTTCAAATTACATTACGTACACGCCAAAAAAAACCTTCCTGTTGATTTTTTTCAATTTCATCTTCAATGTAGACGTCTTTAAAATGTTCATAAGTTGGCAGAAACTGTCTAGTGTGACAAGGCCTTACTGTAACTCCACAAGTTCCTCTTTCACCCCTTTTCATTATACGTGTGTTTCAGATCTTTAAATCCAAATGGAGCGTTTCATTCTAGTTTGAAAAAGAGGTYTATGACTATATAGCAGCACAGAAACTTTAATTTTTTCTAATAAATCAATTAAAAGACTTCAGCAAGGGAAGACTTTTCCATCCAGCCTTACATGTTGGAGCCAGAGTCTGACCCAAAGTGAGAGGAGAATAAAGACAACAAAATTGTAGYCAGTAAGTCCAGATCTTATCAGGCAGTTCTGTTGCAGATAATTTGACATAATAGTTCAGAAAACCTCATAGAGAAAATGGAATGGATTGAAAAATACGACCCAAACAGAATATAAAGTTACCTACGCAGCACCAGGAGAGACTACATGAAACTTYTCTGCACTCGTAGAGACTCCAAGTACACAACAAAATGCATTTAACAGCTAAAAAAGTGGATTCTGCCTGATGTATCCCCTTTAATTAGGCATATTGAAACAAAGGAACTTAGATAAAAGCTGTTCACTCTGGTTGCTGATGATTTGATGATGTGGATGTCGTGACAGCGTGTCAGCAGGCCACAGTTCTTGTCATATTTCATGAAGCCCAGGGAGTTGAGGGACTTCCTGCTTTAAACAGATCTTTCTGGTTCTTTATCTTTCCATGTCTTTTCATTAACTCACTTTCACGGTCTTCATGGCACTACTGTACTGACCTTTCTGTGGCATCAATGAGACAGCGATTGAAGCGAACTGAGTTTTCAGCATTTTCTCTCCACTGCCGTCACAGAATCATCGTCGAGCTCAGAGATGCACCATCGGTCCAGGTTTTAATCACAGAAAGGTCCTAATCTGTCTGATTGGATTTTTGGAGTCAGATATGTTGCTTTGGAGCCAATTTTCAGACAGCACAGATCAGTTTCTTGCGTTGCATGTGCAGCTGCAGCAGTAAATAATCCATCCTTTATTAAAACAAACTGACACCACTGAGGAAAAAACTGTAGCCTTGTTGCTGCTGCTCTTTTTTTTTTTTTTTTTTTACATTTTTGGCATTGCTTTCTGTGCATCCTCCATCAGTCAGTTGGTTGTTTAACTGCCTACTCCACACACAGGGAATTTTCTTTCCAGAAATTTCAATCTTCAGTCATCGTGCACGCAAACACAAACATTTAGTTTTCTTCAGGGCAGGAGTGGCTGCTGTGTCTCTGCGTGCCACCGTCTTCAAACTCACATCTGTTTCCTGTGGTATCAGACATCAAACCTTTGGCAGTAAATTCTTTAAGTCATTTGTGCTGCAAGGTGTAGCTGTCATGGCTCAGTCGTATAGCGACATAACCAGTAAGCTTGGACTAGATCCTGGTCTGAAAAAGACTTACTAACAGTCTGACATTTCTGATTCTGAAAGTCACCAGAGATGCTCTGGCTTTTGTTTCCGACACTGAAATGCATTTTTTGTTATTAAAACGATTCCCTTTATCATGTTTTATTTTGTTTGCTTTCTTTGTTCATTGTTACTTAAACTGTCTCAAATCAAGTTAAAGCAGCCTGACAGTGTTTAACTCAGCTGACAGAACCGTCTGGGGGTTTCTGCCATTCAGCCATGTAGACAGATGCTGGATGTACAAGTTGTCAGAATCGTCTTACTCTTGTATTTTTTTTCTGAAACCTATTAGATCTCCTCTGRGGAAGATGTTCAGTCCCTCTAGAGCAAAGCACTCTCACACTTTAACATAACAAAACGTCTTAGATTCGACACTTTCTTTTCGTTTTTTTTTTTCCTCAGGTACTCGCTCAAGCTTCATAAAAACAAAGAGGAAAAAGAGATGCTGTTATCGAGATGTATGAAGAGAGGAGAAAGGGTATCTGTGTGTCTGTAGCGTCTAATTCTGATCTCCTGCTCATACTTCATGGGCCCATTTGACCATTGCTGCCTATCCAGTGCCCTCCATTTATTGTGATTGTATGAAGTTATTGAGAAATTGGACCTATTAGGCGGGGATCTTCTGCCATGGCTGTCAGACTACCAATTACTGCAGCTTGCAGCCATGTATAGCCTGCCCTGATCCATCTGGAAGGTAAGGGAGGGCTGAGGGATGTTAGGGTGTAAGGGTGGGGGTGGGAGCTAAGGGAGGGTAGTTTGGGGGTCGGGAAAGGGGGTTCTCAAGAGACCTGCCATAGCAGCACGTCGTTAATCAATCCGATTTAGGCCGGACAGGGACACACTTAGTCGTTGCTCCTGCCAACACTGCCACGGCGGGGGAGAGAAAAACGCGTACGTGACCTGCATCTTATTCCGACACGCGGACGCAAAAAGATGGATAGATAGGTTCAGAATGAAGAGACGGGGATAGGGTGGTGAATGGGAGAGGAATGATGGAAGTGGTGCGGCGGGGAGAGACAACAATTAATGGAGCGATGTGAGCTGAATTAAAACAAAAGGATACGTATCGATTCATTTCTGTCTCCGGGAGAGATATAAACACGTTCACCTTGTCGTCGTGAAATAAATGCCCACGTTGAGAAATATATTCAGTTAAATTCAGGGTAGGGTCAGGAGGGTGGAAGAGAAATGGGTGGTTTGCACTTATCTGATTTGTCTTTGTAATCACAAGGGATCATGGAAGCTTGATGACGGGTGGAGATGATGAACCATATCCTTAGTCAGCTTCAGACCCAGAGGAGGAGACAAAGATGGAGTTAGAGCCCAGTATTTGCATTCATTAATATGTATGTGAATGTACGCTTTATCCTCCACTGTTTGTCTGCTTGGATAGTTTGTTACTCGCCCAGTCAAAGGGCAATTTATTGTTAGAAGATTTGTACTGATTGTGAAAAAAACCCTCAGATTTGACTGAGAGTGAATAATTACGCAAAATAATGAAGAGAGATTTTGTTGTTTAAAGACGATATTCCTGCCCTTTTGTTTGACATGAGGCCCCCCAAAAAATCTCATTTGAAGAACCAGATCTCCCAGTCTGGTCCCCCATTTACCTCACAAAAAGAATTGGGATACCTTTCCTAAGTGTGAATACGCTAAACTTAGTAGAGCTTAGAGGTAGTGAGAAGAAATGAAACAGGATTAAAAGGATAAAACGCCAACAAAGATTAACTATACAACTTTTCAAAAAAAAATAAACATTAAGTTTGAACAAAAGAGAAAAAAGAAATATGTTGTAAAATAGTTGATTAAACAGATAGACAGTCACTGCAGGAATGCTGTTTGTGTCAGTGTCTAAAGGCTTTTTATTACCACCTGACAAATTAACTGATGTGCTCCCTGATACTATCACCCCCTGGCAATCCCCATCAGACTTTGTAATCCTCTGCAACAGGTGGATCAGGTGTGAGGGGCAACAATCCTCTGGAAAATKTGATGGTGACTAAGAAAGGTTGCGCTCTCAGATGGAGGCTGGAGGCCAGAGATCACTGCACATCTCATTTATCTACCCAGTGAGCAGGAAGACATCAGCACTGTTGACATTACACCTTGATCACAGTATGAAATAGGATACAAAATGGCACCGGTCACTTCCACATAAAGTGGATCTACTTGTAGGTGGCATATGATGAGGAAAAAATAATGTCACCATAATCAGCTTGATGACCCTTTTCTTTAAAAAGAGGAACAGCAGAGACATCAGGTTGAGACACTATGTTAGAGCTTAATGTAATGACTCTCATCTACTGCCACATAAAACTTTAACCCAACAGATCCAAAACTGACTAAGTTATAGCAGTTTTTGTGTTTTCAATTATTATTAACTGTAGTGGCCATCTTTTATTGTGTTGATTCTCAAAGTTGATGGGTTRTATATGTAAACGCACCGGATCCTTCCGGAGAGTTTCATTAAAATCTGCCCACTGATTCATGAGATATTTTGCTAACAGACAGACAGAGCCCTCATAGAATTTGTAGTTAGTTGTAGTTATTACCACATTGATCATGTACCTCCCTTTGCATGTATTTTCTGTCTGTTAGCAAAAATATTGTATACAATTCTCTTAGAGTAATCATTAGACACACCTTTACAGCAGAATAACAACTTTCAAATGATCATTTAGATTTTTTGTTTTTTCTAACATTAAAAATTGGACACAACGTATGCAAAATAAGAAATCTTTTTTAAAAAACACAAGTGAATATTGTATACTGTAATAATAATAATAATAATAATAATAATAATAATAAAAACAGCTGAGTCAAAAAGTTCAGCTTTCTGTTCATCTTGATCTGAAAGATGATTTTTATTATGTTTTTAATTTTATTGAACTGAGGATAATGACCATTTTTGTATTATTTAATGCTTAAATGCCTGAAACATCTATATATTGTTTAATTAAATGTGTCTTTGACCATGTCCTCACCTTTCCTGTCTTTGTCCAGGTGAGGGCGAGTGCAATCGCTCAGGACGCAGATCAAAACTACGACTACGCCTCCAACAGTGTCATCCTGCACCTGGACGTAGGCGACGAAGTGTTTGTGCAGCTGGACGGGGGCAAAGTTCACGGAGGAAACACCAACAAATACAGCACCTTCTCCGGCTTCCTCATCTACCCCGACTGACAGTTTTCTCCCGTTCCCCGTAACGAAGCAAAAAGTCCCCCCCCCCCCCCTTCATTCTTTCATCCAGCGTCCGTTCATCCACTTTCTCATGTCTCTGCTCTTCATCCCAAACATGTAGCAACATGACCACTGAGTAGAGGTTCAAAAAAGTCTGTGCAGAAAAACAAATAAAAAAGAAAGAATGAAAATAGTGTACATATTATAAGAGTGACTCATTATACACGGAGCTGTGCAATCATTACAAAGTGCCACGTAGAGTATGTGTAAGCATGGCCAACATACACAAATCTCACTTTTTCCACAAACAAAAGTGCACACATTATCAAACCTCATGTTTTTGTTTTAGTTTTTTTTTGTTTGCTCTAAGACGAGCTGACCACGCCAGCCTCTGGACAGAAATCGACTGAAATGAAATCTGAATGTAGACTGTCAATCTGAAGGGGCGGTATCCGGCTGCAGCCTCATGCCTTCGCCGTGATATAAAGTTTCGTTATGGCTGTCGACACCAAACAAGAAAAAGGCATGAATATATTGATCGCAGCTGATAATCCAGCAAACCTCATGATTATAACGCAGTGTGCTGTGTGTCTGTGTGTCTGTGTTAATGCCTGTGTGGAAGCATTTGAGTGCGTTTTTGCCCTTTAGTTCTGTGGAGATGTAAAAGCATCATTATTATTGTTAGTGTTATTTGCACAATTTCTGAGGGGAGGGGGTCAAGTCGCTGGTAACAGTCCCTGAACACACACAGTTTATCAATGCCGAAGTTTAGCTTGGAGATTGATTTCTGAGCCTCGGAGCAACATCATGTCCAGTTAACAAGCTCGTCTGTAGCAAAATCTATATTACACTGTGCTGATAAATGGGTTTAGTAAATTAGGAGATGTGTTATTTGCTTGTTCTTTGCTCAGTTAGATAAAAAAATTACTACAAACTGTAGCCAGATAGTGTAGCATTTCAGCTGTGTATGTCTAAAAAAAGAAGTTTGTGAAACATAAGCTTTATCAAAACTGAAATATTAAACTGAGGTTTAATTGAGCTTCACACCAAGAAAAGACCTCAAAATCTTGGTTGACAGGAACACTACATAAATTTTGTTGAACAGGAAGCTGAGCCCACACACTGCTGCACTTTTACCTTTTCTGTACAAACAAAAGCTACAGATGCTGCATGTTCAGCAGGAGTTCTTCATGTTTCTAACAAAAATAAAATCCACCCATAACGCTTTTAAATAGACCTAATATTTGTTCGTTGTTCACTCAGATGTTCGTGTAAAATCATATTTAGTGTGAAATCCAGAAATAAAACCATCTACAAATGTGATTGCTTAGTAGCTTTAAAAATTAGCTAAACGCGAGATGTATAAAAAATTTGTCTCACAAAGAAGAAAAGTGAGCATCGTCATAAATAAGCGCTTGTCCTGCYCTGCATTTAAAGTTTTGCAAACGTGCAGAATGAAAAATTTGTCCTTAACAAGCCTATAATCTTTTGAATCAGAAAGCAGTTAACACGCTGCCTGCATGGAGATGCCCCACTGTTAGACGGGCCAGTCAGAGGAATAAGGGGACATTTAAACAGAACTCACCTCTTTAAATAACAAGGTGAAGAGTGAAACAGAATAACAGGCTGTGTGATACAAATGAGTTGTTTTTTTTTAGCTTTAGCTAGTGAAACGTTGTTTTAGAGAGCTACCAAAACGAAAAAATACAAAGCTGGAAGGAAGGATAATGCATCCCCTTGAAACACTTTTTGGACGTTAATGGAGTAGTTGAATTAAAAAGGAGMTGAACAGGATTTCAAACCATTCTTCACCAGATCTGCACATTCAGTACAGTTACACTAAGAGGGTACAAGGGTTTACATTTGAAAAGTAAAAAAATGAAAGCATTTCTTTAATTTTCCTGTCTTATGGTGTTTTTTTAAATGCAAGTGACTGTTGTTGATCTTTTACTGCCACTTTGCCATACATATAAGTTCTCTGTGCCTTATTCTGTCAAAATATTTGATTTTGTACGCAYAAGAAATTGTTTCCCTCCCTTCATTAAAGATGAGCTATGTGAAGAAGGTGATCCACGGGATTCAGTGACAAACTGGCAGGGATTTTCTATTCCCACCACAGGCAGTCCTTGTGAACATTAATGAATCCTTTACGTTTGAAATGTGAACCGCAGACAGTGACTGTGACTCTTTGTGTGTGACTAAACGTGAGACCAAGGTTAACATGTCTGATGTATTAAAACATTCAAATTCTGCAAACTAAGAAATTAGTTATAAAGAAAGGGGTGCACATGTTTTTTTCTCACCTTTATGTTAGACCATGCAGGTTCAATCCCTAACGTAATCGTTGATGATATTCCGTGCTAATTCTGCTCATTCTCGTGTTGTAATTGCAAAATACAAACAAATCCCCCACCAATGCTGTATATTTATGCACAAGCAGTTTTCCCCCCTCTCCGCTCCTTACCTCCATGCTGCTGCAGCTGGACCCAACTGTGTGTTTTCTGGCACTGTTACCCGTGTTTGCAGGCAGGGTGGGTTATACTTGCTGTCAAATGTACTTTGCAAGCTGAGTTGTGTGTATTTGTAACGTAATCTGCATACATTTTTTCCCTGTCCTTGAAGACCATGAGATACATTAAAAAAAGACAAACTCTGGGCAAGTTTTGCTGTTGACAATAAAACCATTGCTTTCTTTATTTTGTTGTAAATGTGACATAAAAACTAAAAAAAGGTTGAAGTGCCTGTGACATGCATGTTCTTCAAATATTAAATACATTTTTTCTTGTTTTTATGTTTTCTTGTTATTTGATTTTTACTGTAAAGTGCTTTGGTCACCTCAGTTGGTTGTTAAAGTGCTTTGTAAATCAATAAAGGACTAAATTAAATGAATGAAATACAAAAAAAAATCAAAGAAGACATCTTTGCATTTAAGAAACTTGGCAAAATATACATGATTTTACCCACTGAGAAGGGGTTATCTGYGGAATCAAAGTGGGCGTGTCACAAGAGTGGGTGTGTCTAAACCATAAACACTGTGGGCTACGAGGCCTACATGACGGTATCCTTAGACCCTGCTGGCCTCTATACAGCCTGACCCCAACACAAAGGTTAACTAGGAGAAATGTGACCCAAGTAGAGTTCTCCAGAAAATGTGGTGCCGTACAGTAACGCCCCTTTTGTTCTTGTCCAATCAGKTGTATCCCTTTAAAAAAGTCCGTCAAATCAGGTGTGTCGCTTTAGAATCGTCTTTCATTGACACGCCCACTCGTCCGCAGAGACCACTACTTGCATTTTGTCACATATTTTCATTTACATTTGGCTCAGCTAAAGTGAAACAGGAAGTGACATCAAAGGGGAACTCTTTAAAAAAAGGAAGTTCATGGTCTTTATTTATCAAAACAATATTATTTGAACTCTGACTCTTCATCTCTCTTGATTGAGACTGAAAATAATCTAAAGAAACATCAGATTCTTCTCTACAGTCTGTGTTGTTAGTCGTATTAAAGCTCTGTTCATATGCAGACATTCCCCTTTGACATCACTTCCTGTTTGTTACAACACACAGGATATCTCAACATCTGATTTTTTTTGCAATGTGTTATTATTGTTATATTTCCAAAAATGCATTCATATCTATTATAAAAAAAACTGATGTCACAGGCACTTTAAAGTCAGAATGAATGAGTTGATTTTATGTTCGTCAACTTTAACATAGTTTCCTGCTTAAAACCTACAAACAGTGGGCAAAAAGCCTAGAATGTCATTTTATAGCTATAGCAGATAAATAGATAGAAATACACAGCAGATTTCTGTATGAATTTCACTGCATGTCTGGTTTTATGATCTTCTTCATGTGAGTGCTTTGCTTTTACAGATTCATGCTCACAGCAACGCCACACCGAAACACATTTCCACAGCTGTGCTACAAAAAAATCCACAAATTATGGTCGACAAATCAATCAGCTGTGAACTTCTCGAAACAGCTGGATACGTGTAGGGAAAGTTTTCCGTGTTCAGCATCTCACATCACCAGAGGGTGCAGCCATGAGTTTTGAAAAGAACGCCCAAACAACTCTGCATATGTTCACACTGAGCGTAAATGCTTTGATTCAGATTAACAACCCAAAAAGTGGCTCCTTGATCCACTTCCAGGAGAGCACAGCACCATCTGGGACAAAGGGTGTAGCATTTCCGAGGTATATGTCAGAACAACAGCTACAGCAACCTGTGAGCAGGTGACTGTACCATTAAAATACATGTTTCCTTTTCCTTCCTGCTTCTTTTGCTGTCAGCAAAGCCACCACAAAACGAACCGTGGAAACATGAAAGGGAGTTCTCACCTTCCCAGAATAAAAACAAGGAGATGGGTCTCTAATTAAAGGTGAGAGGTAATGCTATTCTGGGTGGGTTCTTGTGGAATGTGGTGTAGAGGTTTGAGAAATGCCGGACTGCAGCACATCCCTGACCACACACACACACACACACACACACACACACACACACA